CCGAGCGTGGACAGCATCAAGCACGAGGAGGGCCTGGGCAATGACAAGAGCAGCGGTTCGCCCGGCGGCGATGCGGCCGGCGAGGGCAATGCGCATCTCAGCGCGGGCGACATGAAGCTGGGCCTCAGCTCGCCCAAGACCCTGGCCGACCCGGAGGGCCATACGCAGCGCAGCGGACGCGGACGCAATGCATCGGCGCACGGCAGCAATCTGAACAGCCTGGCGCTGATCAAGGACAGCCCCACGCCGCTGGGCGTCGAGGTGGAGGGCGTGCTGCCCGCGACGGTGGCCACGCCCGTGCCAACGCCAGCGCCCGCGCCCACAACAACAACGACGGCAACAACAACCAAGCGAAAGCGCAAGAGCAAGGCAACGCAGCAGGCCGAGGAGCAGCAGCAGCAGGCGGATCTGCAGCAGCAGGTGGATCAGCAGCAGCAGCAGCAGCCGCTGAGCAAGCTGCCGGCGCTGGAGCAGCCTCACAGAGATGCACAGCAGCCGCGCAGCCGGCTGCCCAGCATGGTGGACGAGCAGCCCGCGGGCGCGGACTCCGCGGTCAAGGATCTGGAGCATGCCATGTCCAAGCATCTGCCGTCGCCCAGCGCCAACCAGCCCAGCACAGACTTCAGCGCGGATGCCCTGATCAAGCATCAGCAGCATCAGGTGCAGCAGCAACAGCAACAGCAGCAGCAGCAGCAGCAGCTGCAGCATGATCCCAACGAGAAGAGCAGCACCATCCAGTGGATAGGCACGCCCTATCAGCAGCCGGCGCCCATGCCGGCCACCGCGCTGCTGCGGCAGCTCTACGCCAATCGGGAGAGCGTCATCCGGGCCACAGCTCGCCAGACGCCAACGGGCGTCTTCTATGGAGAGCAGCAGGGCGGGCCGCTGCCGACGCCGCCGGGCAGCGAGTCCTCCTATGAGAATCAATATCTGCAGCTGCATTCGGCGGCTGCGGCCGCCTCGGTGACGCATGCGGGCGGCCAGAAGGCGCCCGGTGGCAACTCCACAGACGCCTTCACCAATCTGGTGTCCACCTACGGCGGCTATCACAGCTCCATTGACTACCACAACGCGATGACGCCGCCCAGCTCGGTGTCGCCGCGCGACAGCAACAACTCGGCCAAGGCGCCCGCCGCAGCCGCTCCGCCGCCCGGCCTGCTCGTGGGCAGCAATGGGGGCTACGACTATGCGGATTCGCTGCGCGGCCAATATGCCACGCCCGTGGATGGAGGTGCGCCCGCCGCCTCGCTGCCGCTGAAGCCGCAGGCCTATACCGCCGGGATGCATCCGCATGCGACGACCACAACGGAGGGCGGCGTCACCTACAGCAATCTTGACCAGCCGCAGTACTTTGCGCCCCACTCGAGCTTCCATCTGTACCACAAGGGCAGCCCGGCGAGCGCCTGGTACTCGACGCCCTCCTAGGCGCGGCATGACCAGGCAGCCTTCGAGCTGCCCGCTTGCCAGCAAAGGCAGCAGCAGCAGCAGCAGGAGCAGCAGCAGCGCGAGGAGTTGGCGCAGCATCAGTCGCAGGAACGTTGGGACTTTGTTGGCGCACTGGGCAAGGTGGCGCGCATGTTCTTCAATGCGCGCAAGGGCAATCACTAGACAGGGAACGTGGAAGGGATGAAGCTGGAGCTAAGCGAAGCCAGATACCATTTAATAAAGAAAGTGTGGCCGGGATTGGGTGGGAGGATTAAGACAAAAACTGATACGCTGGAATAAGCCACAAAACATCAAAGCTTCATTTTGAGGGAAAAAGTAGGAGGGATCCAGGCCCTAGTGGAGAGCACAAGCTCTTGGGGATCAGGCAACTTCTGTGAGGCGCAAACCAACAGGGATTCAACTCCCACTCAGAGACATAAGCTGACATGGATCAAAGCCCTTTCCTAGTGCAAACTAGCAAGGATCAATGCTCCACTCAAGGCTCTTCTCCTTTAATGGCAAACTAGTTAGGATCTACGTCTCCTTTTGGAGCACAAGCTAGCAGGCATCAAGCCCTGCTCTGGCGTGCAAGTAAGGATCAAGCCCATACTCTGAGGAACAAACTAGCAGGGATCAAAGCTCCACTTTGAAGCGCAGGCCAGCAGGTAACAAAGCCCCCCTTAAATCCCAAAACTAACTAGAATCAAAGTCCCACACTAATCCAAACTATCAGGGATCCCTACTCTGAAACCTTGAAAGGCTCCACTTTAAAGCGCAAAACTAAACGAGTTCGAAGTCCCACTGATCTCGATCAAGCTCCCATTTGGTGCCACAAACTAGCTAAGATTAGGCCCCCCTCGAGTGCAGACAAGACCCCCCCCCTAGTGAAAACTAGCAGGGATCGATTTCCCACTCTGACTCTCACCTCGCTGCAAAATGTACATAGAAAATTCTAAAAAAAAAAAGGCAAGAAAAACTCAACATTAATTTTCTAAAAAAAAAAAAAAAGAAGTACTCTAAATTTGTTTAGCAATTTTTTATTAAATATTTGGCTCAAATGCGAATGTTAAAACATTAAATGTTGTTAAATATTATGTAAGCTTGTAAATTATAAAATAATATTAACAAAACAAAAAAAAACAACAAATAACTCACACGACAAAACCCATTGAAATTCAATTTAAAATACTCGGCAAATATGCAATTATCGAAAATTAAAATTAAATTTAAATTAGAGAAGACTTGGATAGTGTGCCAGCAACAAGAAGAAGAACAAGCACAACGCGAACAACAATATAAAAATAAATAATTAATAATAATATGCATAAATTAAACATAGTTCTAGCATTTAATTCAAATCGCAGCACGCTCGTAATGAAATCAAAATGCTTATGCACTAATTCTAATTGTTATTAATTATTTAAATTAATTGTACATTTTTACCAACTACAACTATCGTATATATATATATATATATATAGCTATATATATGGATACAGTTAGTGCTAAAAGTATGATTAATATTTAACATTTTTACAACATATCAAATGCTTCCTCCTCTAGATTACGATTACGTATTCAACTTAATTTTTTAAAAACAAAAAAATCAACTCTATTTCTTGAATTCAATTAGTTTTACTTCAAATAAAGTATATATATATATATATATATATGTATATATGCCTCTAAGAGTTCCCCTCTACGAGTTCTGCTTACGTATTTTTGTGTTACGTTTTTTGCCTAAACTTAAACAAATTTAAAATAATAATAATTGCATATGTTTATGTAAAATACTTAAAGCAAGTCTATCACATTTTTAGCTATTAAATGTAATTTAAATTTTGTATAAATCAATTCAAATACGTTTTCCATAAAAAGGCTTAAATATTAAATATGATGATAAACACATACAAATCGAATTTTAATAGCTGAGCACAGTTACACTCAGAGAAAATTTGGTTACGCAGAGAATTCATGTAGAGTCTATTTTTAGATATATCTAGATAGATATCTTAATGCAGTTACACTCAGAGAAAATTTTGAAAAGAATTGAAATGATATTGTTTATTTTTTTGTTTAAACAGATACACTTAGAGAAAACAGATACACTAGAAATAGAATTCATATTCCGTTTTTTTATGTACAGCATATTTCAATTTTGCGCTCAGAGAAAATATGGCAGGAAAATAATTTATATTTATTTATTCATTGAAAATATTACAAGTATTTTCTTTTAAAGTTCTTAAGTCTTAATTTAACTATTTTCGATTTGTAAGAAATACGTATAAGAGCAATTTGCTTGCTTAAAACAAGCGCAGTGTAAGTACAATATTGCTTAAAATAAGTATTGTATTTTAGTCTAATATTAAGGAAATTTAGCTGTAATGAGAAAGTCGTTATGAATTTAGACACAGGCAAACTTTGAGCAAGGAATTCCTAATTTTTTCTGCAAGTGTAGAGAAGTGCCGTATATATATACAGATGAATGTGCTCTCTCTCTCTCCCTCTCTCTCTCTCTCTCTCTCTCTCGTGTTCGCGCTCTCAGTTTTCAGTTGTGCTTTGTGCCTAATTCGTAAACGTTTTGCTGCATATATTTGAACACTTTTAACGTGAGGTTTTGTCAACTAAAATCGTATCATCGTCTGATTAATACAATGAATTGACGCACATGTTCCATTCTGACAGGCGGGACACTTTGGACGCAATGTCCATTATGTTTTTTGATTAACATAAAAAACGCATAAAATTCCAATTTGCCGCATTTGTTGCGCTCAATTCCCGTGTCCGGTTGTGGTTATTCTTTCTCTTCTTTTACTATTTTTTTTGTTATCCTTGTGGCTGTCACATTTTTGTGATGGCTTTTTAAGCGCTTTCTTTTGACTGACCAACAACCCCCGACCCCGCACAGACACAGACAATTAATCATGATCCAACTGGGCAATATGGAATTTAAGTCAATTTTATTGCAGCAGCATTTTGTGGGCGTGGGCGTGTTCGTGTGTGTGTATTTAAGTGGGTGGAGTGAGTGGAGTGGGTGGGTGGGTGTGCGTGTGCGTGTGCGTGTCCTTGGAGATGAATTGGCTCACTTGCATGCCTTTTTGCCCTTTTGAGCTACTTTTTGTTTGGCTGCCTCGAGAGCTTTTAGCTGCTCCTTTTGCTTCTGCTTGTGGGCCACCACCTGTTCGTCCATTTCTTTGGTCTCCTTTTTGGGTGTCTTCAAGGGCTTCTTCTTGCCACCCACGCGACTGGACATCTCAAAGTAGATTATACTCAAATTCCAACAAGCTTTAACAATTATTTCATTTTAATTGCACCTTTATCTGTTATATAATTTAAGGCAATGCCTGCTTTGCATCTCAGGGCTTACTTCATGTAACATTAAAAACAATTGTATTGCATTTTAAATTTAAATCATAGCGGGCACATTTCATATCAATGAGCAAACAAACGTTGCCCGGTGCTGCTTATCGATATGGCACAGAAATATCGTTTGACTCAGCAGTGTGCCCATCAAACTATCGTTTAGGTAGATACATCGATATATCGATATAGCAAATTGCTGCACTTATCGTCACAAGCTAGCATCACTAGTTCGTCGCAGTTCGCCTTGGTTTGTTCGGTTTCGGAGAAAAAATTAAATTCTATTTTATTTTGTTGAGTTTGTTCAATTATTGAAAGTACAATTGCTTGCGGTTTCGTTACAAGTTTCATATGTAAACCCGGCTCGTATAGCAATACCCAAAATCCATAACTTAAGTTCGTATGCGGCTTCGCTTTGCCGTTCCGTCTTTTTCGTGTGTTTTTTTTTGTTGTTTTCCTTACAACTTGCGGTCCGTTTGCGTGTGTGTGTGTGATTGTTCAAACTATGTGTGTACTTTAATGCCTGTGTAAAGTAACGAAGGAGCCTTACAAATAACATGTGTTCTTGTTTGCTGAATTTGTTGCTGTTTAAGAAGAGTACACACGATACACGACGTACCTAAGTTCCAGCGAAAGAAAAGGTGAGCGCTGCAGTTCCTGTCAAAAGCGGTTCATTTAACTCTTTTTTTTTTATTGCTGGCGTGCCAGCCTATGTGTGTGTGTGTGTGTGTGAGTGTGAGTGCGCTTATCTGCAGTCGCAGGCAGAATCAACGCCACAGCGCTGCTGCCCTTTGATTATTATGATTTTGCTCTCTTCCCGACGTTCGCTCTCACACACAGACATGGACAGCTCAAGACGATGCCGCCTACTCAACAAAACTCAGTGTCGCAGCGTCTGATTTGCTTGAAACTCAGTCTTCAAAAGAGTAAGAGATGTACTTTTACTCTCGCACACACACACACACAAGCACATCCTACAATAATCCCAGGCAAGAAGAAGAAAAGTAAATGCAATGAAGAAACCGTCTGCGAGTGTATGCACACAGTTGCATTTGTGTGTATGTGTGCAATTAATCATTGCATTGTGTTTACAAATCGTTTAATTAATTGAACTAGTTCTTGTTCTGGCTGCCACAGCTCTCTCCCACACTCACACTTTTCCTCCTACTCTCTTTCGGCGCATTAGGCTTAGCACAGTTTCGCCGCAAATGAGATTAGTTGTCTTTAAGCCGCCGCGCTGTGCAGTGGTGGGGACAGCAGCAAACAGTTTAGTAGACAAATTTGTGTGATTTTCTGTTTTTTCTTTTATTTTTTTTGTTTTGGTTGTCCCCCTCAAGCGTTTAACAGTAAAAGCAAAAAGTGTAGAGCTAGCGTATTGAGCATTAAGTATATCACACAAGAAGCAGACAGCTCTTTCTATGTGTGTGTGTGTGTGTGTGTGTGTTTGCGGTGTGCTCTTTGCTTGGCTGTGTGTGCGTGCAGCCCGGGGGCTGCTTGGCTCTGGGGGCTACTGTTGCATGAACACAAAAATAGCATAAGAGCATCTCGTTGTCGGGGTGCGTCCGCCGTTCGTTCGTTCGTTCGTTCGTCAGAAGCAATAAAAATTAAAAGGCAAACAGCGATAAGCCTGCCCCCGTGCACCCTGCCCCGTGTTCTGGCTACCCAGTGCACACATGGCAACCCTGATGCATAACGGTAAAGCACATAAAACCAAACAAATGCAAATGCACAGACGGCAGCAACACAACAACAACAACATTATTGATGCCTCTCTGACACGGCAAATTCAATTGTGCACTCTTCTTGCCAGCCCGCTCCCCGCGCTTATCAGTTTAAATGGCCGCACGTGGGGTAGCTCAGACTCGGAGCTTTTTAAAGGCTGCCCCCTTTGACCGCTTTGACTTTGATAAGGGTTGCCAGATAGCTAAAAATACCGGCAGGCTTTAAAGCACAGATGGGAAAGGGGAACAAGAAACTGGGGTTCGCTTTGCTTAATTAAATAACCCAGGAGGTATACATGATAATAATATGTTGATATAAGTCCAGCTCTATTTTCGGCGGATCGTTTCTATATTTTCTACGTAATCTATATTATATAAGTAGTATTCTTGTGCTAAGCATATGTCTTAAAACAGAATATGGCCATACTAAAGACTATTCCGAAGTTAGGCGATTTCATATTGACTATAGTTCCTGGCAGGACCAAAATAACAGAAGAGTTAGATAGTTCGATGTTAACAAGTGTGCCCGTATATGCCATAAGATCGTACGTTACATAGTTGGTGACAAAAGTAGAGTACCCTTAATGAGGGCATAAAAGCGATTTGACTGTTGAGTGATGTGCCCTAATTGAAATTGAGTGGCAGTCGGAGGCATGGACTGTCAGGGATAGACCCAGCTCCACCCGCGCCCCAGTCTATTTCCCATTTTCACCTTCCCATTTATGTGTTTTACAGTTTCAAATTACGTGGTGTGACAGGTTGAATGCCTGCGTCTTCCATTACGCACTGGCAATGTCGAGAAGCGAGCAGTAAGCTGCAAGCCAAATTTGTCCACCTTTTGACCTCTTGGCAGCCTAGTTGCCATTCGCCCATTTGCTTATCGGGTTGACTCATCTGCAGTCGCGTTTTATCTGCAAGAAATCTACGTGACTTGACCAGCTGAGCGACAATGAAGCTCGGTTTTAAGCGCTGGGCAAATACTCAACCGGTTCGACGTCGTCACCATTACTTCTGCCCCTACCCCCTTCCCCCGTAAACTAGCCACATCCAGCATCAGCCAGCAAATTGGATTTGCTTACGTTGCCATTTCCCCCATTTGCTCAGCGGGTCACGCGAACAAAGCAAAAGCACAACTCGCACATTGGTTCGCTAGCTGTCAAACAAGCGACTTGGCATGTTTAATATGCGAAAGAAAAACTGGCTGAATAAGCAATATAAATAAACCAGTGTTGTAAGCTGTCAGCAATTAGCTGAACTCATAGCAAATATATGATTTTCCAACACTAAGAGCAGCGCTTGAGGGTGGGGCAGCTCCTTTTGAGCTCCTTTCGTAAATAGAACGAAAATGGCTTCCCGCTTAGGTGAAATATAAGTGGGAAAACAAAGATTTAGACTTATTCTTTTAGACAAATCAAAATAGCTTTTGCAACACTGTCACAATGACTAACGGAAGCTGTTTCGAGTCGCGTTTTCAGTTGCCAAACTGGTCAAATAAACAAAAGCAAATTAAATCTGCATGCAAAAGCATGTGCACAATACACATGCAAACACTAATACACACACATACATATATGCAAATATATATGTATATATATGTGTGCAAAAACATAATAAACGAAATTTTGCAACGTGATGCCGCCGCTCCATAGCGAAAAAGGTGTGTGAAGGGGAGGGGGGGGACTCGCCCAAAAACTCGGTCAACGAACCAAAAGTTTTCTTTTTGTTGTCAGGCGAATAAATTTGATATAATTATCTGTGTGTGTGTGTGTGTGTGTGTGTGTGTGTGCGGCCTTTTGTTTATGCACTTTAAACAATACAACTGTTTAGCCAGAAATATTGTTGTTGTTCCCTTTGTTATTGTTAATTTCGTTTTCGTTTTCAATTAATGGCAACAGAAGAGAATAATAAACACAACATATACGCAATAAATACAAACAAAGCTAGCACCTGAGCACCCCCTCCCCCTACCCCCTCCCCCTCTCATTGCCCGAAACCCCTTCAGACTTGCATTTACCTTGTACGGCAAAGGTAACTACAAAAGCCGTCATAACCACAACGAGGCATCGAATCGAGTCGGAACGAGTCTATAAGGCTTCCCGTTCATATATGGCCAACAGCCGATGTCGTTTGTCGCCAGTTCCCTGAAATGGGGCGATTGGAGGCCTTGTGGGCGTCACCGGACCAAATGACGCAACCTCGTTATACCCTGTACAAACGAAAAATATAGATTTTCAAAAAGAGAGCATAATGGGTTTGTTGTGAAAGTATGAAACGGAGAATCAACGAGGTATAGAGATTCGAGAGATCCGACTTAATTTCTTCGTCATTTGCTGCATTTGACATTATCGATAACTTAGGCTGTTTTGTGTGAAATCGATAAATATCGACATTCATTCAGAGTACTTCAATCATAACACGCAGATTATATAACCTAAAGGTACAACAATTTAACTGTCTATAGGGTATCAGCTAGTCGTGCACTCTAGACTGCTGCGCTCTTAAATGTTTATATTTTCTGTTGTCTCTTCTTCAACCTGTTGAACGCAATCTACAAAATTATCGACCCATTACCGAACTGGAGAGGGGCCTTTGGGGAGGGTATCTGCCTCGTGTGCCTAACAAATTTGCATACATTTGCTGATAACGAAACGGAATTAAAAGTAAACCCCCTCCATTTGACCTCCCCTCACCCCCTGCCAAAGCAGCTTAACCTACTGAGCAACCAGGTGGGAGGCAGCAATTTACATAATTGGCTAATAGAATGGCTAGCTAATTAACAAAACCGATACAATGCAGATTTTGTGAGTGTTTCTAGCGATCAGAAAACATATAATATATAGATATATACTTTACATAGATGTAGATATATCTAGATATCGTATAAATCTAGTACAGTATTCGCTCGCACATAGAAGCTTTTCTTTATCAGACGTGAATGTAATTTCCGATAAATTTAATTTTTTATAAACTTTTTTGTATCAGCCAACATTGAAGGCAACAACTTTTCCTACAGTATATTTATACATGATCCTAACCACAAGCTGATATATATATATATATATATATATATATATATATCTTAATGAAACAAGGCTCCTTTCTTGTGCCAGGCAGTACTTTTCCTGGAGATGACTGGGATCTGATATATCTTAAAGATCATAATCGGTCGGGAATTATTTTTTTTTTTTATAAAAAACAATGTTGGTTTTTAATTGTGAGCATGTTCCCATGGTTCCCATAGTTTAGACAAAATCTAATTAAAATTTCCCACTCCCATAACTCGGCCAAATCTCATCCGATTTTCACCAGGCTTGACTTTTTGTTCATGGTTTGGCCTCTAGATCAGTTTGGCATCTAAATCTGGCAATCTTAATTTTTGTCAAAATGATGGAAAAAAACGTCTGAAAATAGAGCCTTCTTGTGTGTCCAAGTAAAAAGATTTATATATATTTTAAACTTCGATTACGCTTGTTATACAATTTGTAGGGTATCCGGCAGTTGTGCAGACTTAGCTTCCCACGGTTCACACTCTCTTTGACGCTTTGTATTTTGTCATTGTTTACTTTGGGCGGTGTATTGCCTAGGTGTGTTTGTGTGCGTGTGTGTGTGTGTGTGTGTGTGAGTGTGTGTGTGCGTGTGTGTGTGTGTGTGTGTGTGTGTGTGTGTGTGCGTGCGGGAAACACACTTCACCATTTCACATGACAAACGTTTGGCCCAAAGGTCTTCACTGGGCCTTAGGCCACAATCGACGCATATTTTCACGCACTGGCGAACAACACTCGCACACACCTTCACACACACACATACATAAGCTCGCACACACACCCACACTGCGTAGACAAACCATTGACAAGTGTAGCGAGTGACTAATAACTGTTTCTTCCTCTTCGTCTTCGTCTCGTTCTGCTTGGACTTCCTTCGACTTGTCTTGGCCGCAATTGACTCAATGGAGCACACACACATTCATGTGTGTGTCAGATAAGATACACACATGTGTGTGTGTGTGTGTGTGTGTGTGTGTGTGTGTGTGTGTGTGTGTGTCGATATAGTACTTATCTTCCAGTGATGATTGATGCGCCGTGTAATTGGCTTATAAGCTTTTCAAATGATATACGAACTAGCTATAAATATCGATGTTTCTTTTAGTTTATTTTTAAGTTTTTTTATTTCATTTTAATTTACCGCATTTTCAGGCCATTTAATTTTTAATTTAATTTGAGTATCAATTTTGTGGGTTTTTATTTTTCTCAAAATTGGATGATTTTTCTATAAAAATATATAGTTAAAGGTTAATTGGTTGGCGTTTCCTAGAATACCTTATCATCTGCATAAATGTGCGGTTATTTCTTTTGCACTTATACTTTGCATTAAGTACTCACACCCACACACACACACACACTCCCTCCCCCTTCCCCTCCCCCCCACAGCCACACCGATAGCTATTTAAGTATATGCCATTAGTTGTAGCAAATACAAATGTTGTGCTCATACGTAAGTATTTTGTACATGTGACAGATAAAGATATTTATGTGCTCTCTGTTCTATATTAATACACGATTTCCGGCTGGCAGCCCCCAGCCAAAACAAGCAAGAAAACCAGCCAAAACAGGGGAAAAGTCAAGTACAACACAAATATTGCGCCACAAATAAAATGAGTGCACATTTCATTGGTAATACGTAAAAATGCGAATGTTCCGATAGCAATTTGATTAGCAGCTAATTAACAGCCTTGGCATATAAATGTTATTAACATTTGTATGTTATATTTACAGCGCTGTTAATGGCAGTAAACTTAGCTACAATTTTTGATTTTCTTGATAATACGAATTTAATGCTTAAAATTTATCATAATTTATAAGAATAATGAGAATAATACTTGAAATTTAACATCTCTGTCATTTTGTTAACAGTTGTATATCATGTAAACAGTTCTGTTAATACTATGTAACATTAAGCAGAGAAAACTCTTTGCATTTGCAATTGTTGACTATACTTTACCCCACAAATATGTCAATTTGCCAGCTCTCACTTATAATTTATCCCAAACTTAATTTCTTTGCAGAAAAAGTAGAAGAAGAAATAGAAGGAGTCAAGTATACACTCGAGTATCCATCCAAAGTCTTAGCCATAACGTGAACGAGACACGTCCAATAAGTCAAAGTCTTGCCATTGTTTATCGAATAAACAAACATAACTGCCAGCCACGAGGAGCCTTACAGCAGAAAGGAGCGGACACCCACACACACATACACCTACACACACACCTACACACACACACGTTTAGCAATTAATTGGGGGCAGTATGGAACGGGGCCATGTTTGAACGCTTTCGCCTGAGCAACCTGAGCAGAAACTATCGACAACGCGGCGCATCCACAGAACTGGCGCGCGACAAGAAACAACAGCGGCAGCAATGCGTCACCGTACTCTTCCTAGATGACATCACGCACACCTTTCGGATCGACGTGAGTACTGTGAGGGCTCCCCTAGGGTTTAGCTTATGTCCATTAGAAAAATCCCTTTTTAAGACGATTCATGTCTGATAGCGCATATGAGGTGCACGGGCTTGGGATTGGAGGTTCCTACAATCCCTGAAACCAAATTCTGCAGTCATTACAAAGAGGCAGATGCCCCATTTCCTAGCTTGACAAACTACCAACAGCCTGACAGACTGCTCCTTTTAATCCCCAATCGGCTGAGAGAAGCTTCATCGACTTGCCTTCCCTACACTTTTCAGCTTTTCTTCCTCACATATCTAGTTGGCCTGCCCGGCGAGCTTTCACTGTATTTCGACATCCACTCGAACACCCACGCCCACTTGGGCTGCATAATCAATAGTTGCTTTCCATTCGCTCGCATAATAATAATAATAATAATTGCGAATTGTGTAAAAAAATCAAAGACCTCGGCAGCATAGAAAGTCGCCTTGTCGTGCGTTACATACCTATCTTTATTAGCCATTGTTTTTACGTATATTTTTACGCTACCTTCTTCTTCATTTGCACTTGAATATTGAATTTGTGAAGTGCTTCGCATCTTCACTTTCGACAGACAGTCAGATAAACAGATAAACCGACAGACAGACAGACGGACAGACTCTCAGTCAGACACGCACTTGTCCAGAGCCATTCGCCGCATTGTTTTCTTAATTACAACACGACTCGTTGCCCCCCAAGCTGAATATGAAAAATAATGATAAAGCTGTAGCTGAGCCAAGATCTGGGCACCAAATTGCAGCCAAATTAGCGTCATTTCACAGTTAGTCAACGAAACAAAGTAAAACTCGGTGAATGGTGAAATTTTGATGTATATCAAATCGTAAAAGTACTTGAAAACTGTCAAGGCACAGGTAAATTAGTCTGTGCTTAAATGGCAAAGAAAGTGACGGAGAGCAGAAATATTAGGCACTGTTACGGTCCGTGTAGTGTCCAAATTTTAGTTTTTCACCTTAATTTCACCTGTGCGGGTGGATTTGTTAATTTGAGAGATACACAATTCGATTCAGCTCTGACTGCATCTAAGCATTGATCTGGGAGAATGCGATTAACTCCGATCGGAGGAATAACATAAAAACTGTAGACAACAGGTTTTCATGTATTTTCCATCCTTGTGAGTGAAATTGTCAAGCATTTCGACTTAGATTCACTTTCACTTACCTACAATTTAGGTAAACATTTTTCTATATATTAAAGAGTTTCATCTGCGAATTAAGTTTTTAATTCAACTTGCACTTTTTATGCTTTCAGAAACGTGCGAAAGGCTCTGAGCTATTGGATCAGGTCTTTCACTATCTCGAGCTATCCGAAAGGGACTACTTTGGTCTATTGTTTCCACAGAAGCCCGGTGATGTTGTGGTAAGTGAATTAATGAATACCTTTCAAATGAAAAAATAAAGCTGACACTCACAAATGAATCTATTTGCAGAGATGGGTGGACGCACAGAAGCAATTCAAGAAGCAATGCAGCAGCCTCTCGCTCGACAACGATGCCGTTCCATTATTAGAGTTTAGGGTTAAGGTGAGAGAGTAACATCAGCCAATTCTTAATTAGCTTCCTTCTAAACCAAATTTATATTTAATATTAAAGTTCTTTGTAAGCGATCCCAGTCGGCTGCAGGAGGAGTTCACACGCTACCAGTTTTATCTGCAGATCAAGCGCAACATTTTGCTGGGCCAACTGCCGTGCTCCAGCAACACCCAGTGCCTGCTTGCCAGCTACACGGTGCAGTGTGAGTAGCCAAATGCATAATCCAATCCCCGCTAGCCGAGCTAATCTTCGCTTTTAATCCGCAGCTGAGCTGGGCGACTTCAATGCGGCGGAACATCAGACGGGCTACTTGAGCGGCCTGCAGCTGCTGGCGGAGCAAACGCCGGAGGCGGAGCGTAAAATCTGTGAGCTGCACAAGCTGCATCGCGGCCAGCTGCCAGCGGATGCGGAATACAATTATCTGGAGCATGGCAAGCGTCTAGAGCTGTATGGCATTGATCTGCACAAGGCCACCGATTCCAATGGCAAGGATCTGCAGCTGGGCGTCTCCGCGGTGGGTCTGCTGGTCTTTCAGCATGCGCTGCGCATCAACACCTTCTCGTGGAGCAAAATGGTGAAGGTGTCCTTCAAGCGCAAGGACTTCTTTATACAGCTGCGCCGCGAGCCCAGCGAGAGCTACGACACGCTGCTCGGCTTCGGCATGACCAGTCACAAGCACGCAAAGGCTCTCTGGAAGTCCTGCGTCGAGCATCACAGCTTCTTCCGCCTGAAGCGTCCGCATCGCCTGTCGCGCTTCCTTAACATCAGCCTGGGCAGCAAGTTCTACTATTCGGGCCGCACCGAGCTGCAGGCCGTTCAGGAGTCCAAGCAGCGCGGTCGCATACACAAGGTCTTCGTACGCTCGCCCAGCAAGCGGCTCTTAGCTGGCGGAGCAACTGGTGTCGGCGGCGGCAGCTCCGCTGATGGCACGCCCCAGCTGCTGCATAATGGCACGGGCAGCGGCTCTGATAGCGCCGCCTCACACAACGGCAAGCCGTCCGCATCCACCATACTGACCATCACGAAAACGAGCCGTCCACATGACACGTCCAAGGTTACGTCCAAGCAGGCGGACGCCATGCCGCGGAAGGCCTGGGAACAGCACAGCGATGAGTACGATATACAGCTGTAAGTTTTGTTCTTTTCCCTATAAACTTATAAAAAAAAAACTGCGTAAGCAGGCAAAAGGCGTTGCTTTAAGTGATTACAAAATGTGTAAAATAGTCTAAGTTTTACCACGCCGCCCACGAATCGCCTTTCTATGCGATTTTCAGCTCTTTCTGTCAATATCTCTCTATATATATAACTATTTATCCTGACTGACTGTCTATATAGACATTTCGATATTTCTCACTCCAATAACTCGATCAAATCTCTAATATCAATCGACGGCCTAGCTCATGTATTAATTCATATCTAGTAGACAGATTAATCCTAGTCGAGCTTTAACTTGATTCTAATCTCGCATCTGTTTCATTTTTCCGCAGCGATGTTGGCTTCATTGAGCAATGCACGCGTCGCTTTGAGTCGGGCACGCCCTCGCCCATGCCGCCTGCCTACAGCTCCGGGCAGCACAGTCCCCTGCTACTGCCCACAACCATAGCGGATGCAGTGGGCCAACCGGAGAGCGGCAGCGACTTGATCACCATGCGCCTGCTGGCCGATGAGCAGGGCCGCTACGGATTCAATGTGAAGGGCGGCGTGGATCTCAGCCTGCCCGTGCAGGTGTCCAAGGTGGTGCCGCACACGCCCGCCGATCGCTGCACGCCGCGTGTCTGCGAGGGCGACGAGGTGCTCATGATCAACGGACGCGATGTGCACGGCCTGCGGCACGAGCAGGTGGTGGCCATGATACGCGACTGCCGGCACCAGTCGAGCGGCGAGCTGCTGCTGACGGTGCGTCCCAAGCGTTCGGCGCCGCTGCTGCTGGAGGAGGAGCCGCTGTACCAGTATGTGCCTGAGTCCGACGAGATTGGCTCGCACTCGAATCTGCTCGACGGCGATGCGCTTTTCACCCAGAGCCTGCTGCTGCTCAGCGATGGTCTCGCCTCTGGCGCTCTGCTCGCCCAGTACGAGCTCATGTATCGCAAGAATCCCGATCTGGCAATTACGGAAGCGCGTAAGGCCGCAAATGCGCCCAAGAATCGCTATCGTGACATTTCACCCTGTAAGTACAAATCACACAGCCCTTGAGAAATCTCTGTTGAATCTATCTTTATACATTTCCAGATGACTGCACGCGCGTCTCGTTGGTCAACTCCTTGACCGGGGACTATATCAATGCCAACTATGTGAACATGGAGATACCCGGCGGCGGCGTTAATCGGTATATTGCCACACAGGGCCCGCTGGCCAGCACCACAACGGACTTTTGGCGCATGGTGCAGCAGGAGAGCAGCCACTTGCTGGTCATGCTGACCACCGTGATGGAGGCGGGTCGTCAGAAGTGCCACCAGTACTGGCCCGTGACGGGCGATGAACTGCAGCTGGGCGATGGATTTTCGGTGCGTTGCCTTAGCGAGAAACCAGACGAGACGGGCAGCTTTGTCTTCCGTGAGTTTGTGCTGCGAGATAAGCACGAGCAGCGGCACATTCATCATATGCAATATCTCGCCTGGCCCGATCACTGTGTGCCCTCCGATCCCAATCTATTTCTGGAGTTTACGGAACGCGTTCGCGCCGCACGTAATCGCACACTGCTCCAGGAGATCGAGGAGAGCCTGAAGCAGGTGCGCCTGCTCGACGCCGATGCCGATGACAACGGCGGCCTGATGAGCGAACGCAAGTGCGCGGCCAGCAACGGCGCCACGCCCGAGGACGAAACGCCCGTGTCCACCAGCGTGCATCAGTAAGATTTCATAAATGTGGAGCGTAAAACGTAAATTGATAAATGTCAACCCTTGCAGATGCATCAGCGCCGCCAATCCGCCCGTGATTGTGCACTGTTCGGCGGGCATTGGACGCACCGGCGTGCTCATACTAATGGACACGGCTCTGGCACTGATGGAGGCGCGCGAGCCCGTCTATCCGCTGGACATTGTGCGCACCATGCGCGATCAACGCGCATGCATGGTACAGAATGTGGTAAGTGTCTATGCATGATTAATCATGACTGATTAATCTTTAGCTAGCTTTTCTCTAAATCCCTTTCAGAGTCAATATCGCTTTGTATGTGAATGCATTTGCGCGGCCTACATGAAGATATCTCGCAGCAGCGCGGCCATCAACGATGATGACGACTAGAGCCGGCCAGCTGCCCTTTCCAAGTTCTACTAGCGGACAATCTAAATACAAATCTTCCTCCCTATATCCCGTCTTGCAAGACGCTTATGATACTTCTCAATCTTTACTATATGCATATATCTTTACTATACACTTATGGAATCAATCTTATTGTTAGAGTAACCCGTAGACATACATACATACATGCGCATAAGTATCTATGCTCTATATCATTACGTTTATTATTATCATTATTGTCTCTATATAATTATATATATAGTGTGTGTGTGTGTGTATGTATGTATCATTTTTGTAGTGCATAATCGACTCTGTATATCGCATAAATATGGGCAATAATCCACGCAAGTGCTGCTGAAAATCTCGCAAAAAACCCAATTCTAAATTTTACAAAAAAGAAAAAAAAAGCAAGAAAAAAAAGGCAAAAAAAAAACAACACAAAATGAGAACAAAACTACCTAATTCAAGTATACAAAAGAAAAGCGTTAAGCGAATTAAAGAAATTGCATATTTATATACCCATCCTCCAAGGTGGAAATTACAGAGAATATATATCTATAAACAATAACTAAAAAAAAAAAAACAAATGAGAAGTAAAAACTGTTAGTATTTTAGCACCAAATTAAATTCGTATACATATATGTATTTATGCTGAAAATCAGAGCTAAATAAATATTATTAAACAAATGTAATATAAGTTATAAGTAAATAGTTAATTAAGAACCTGTTTACCTGATCCTGTTGGCACCTATCATGGACGCAGTCTAAAAACATCCGCGAATGACCAGGATAATCCATTACATGGAGGTCTTGATACTGAAATGGTTTGCACGACTTCAAAGTGGATTCAGAGCAACTTTCTAGGAGGCCAGTTATAAAAAGTCGACACATCGTCAAATAGATTACCAGATTACCTTTTGATATACCATTTGCCACATAACTATTAAGGAACTTTAATGGAAATTTAACCAAGTATAACCGGGTGAGTCCAGCTATTACATTCTTCTAGTCGAATAGCTTAATAATACTAAGTATAAGTAGGCTACGTTTAGTTTATTTTTCACAAATTTCTATTCAACTATTCACCCATTTTCCGTACGTATCTATCGATTTTTTTAAAACCAGTGAACTATGTCTTAAATTAACTTTAGTTAAATCTTTGATGAATTCAAGTGCTTCCACCCATATTTTAATCTTGAATTTGATTGCTTGCTTTAATCTATGATCTATTCTATCAATACTACGCCTCTTCAGGCACTGACCTAGTTTATTTGTTCACCTGATAATCTAGCCCGTTGACCCACGCGCCTGCATTTTCTCAAGAACTGAAGCTTAGCTAGCTTTGATATATTTTTCGAAATGAAGCTCTTAAATTTTGTGTTTAAAAATTACTTAATATATCAAAATATCACCTAAATCTTCTGTAATATAAAACACAAAAAAAAAAAATGGAAACTTGTGCCAAAAATGGATCCATAACCGAGGAGCTTGAGGTGGAGGAAACCGAGGATTTCCATGACCTGGAGGAGTTCAACGAGGACAATGTAGCGTCTGGCAGCGGCGGCCAAAAGAAAGCGGAACGTTTCGTGGTCAAAAAGTGGGTGGCGCATGCGCATTGGTCATGGGATGTGGCCGTGGATAATTGCGCCATTTGCCGGAATCACATTATGAACCTGTGCATCGAATGCCAGGCGGATCCGAATGCCAACAAGGATGAGTGCACCGTGGCCTGGGGCGAATGCAATCACGCCTTCCACTACCATTGCATTGCGCGCTGGCTAAAGACGCGCCACGTCTGCCCGCTGGACAACAAGGAGTGGGTCTACCAAAAATATGGCCACTAGGCTGATTAATTAACGTATTTGTATTTATGCATGTTTGGACAAAATTAAAATTCTAGTGATTAAGCCTAGGCCTGCGCCTGCGTCTCCTGCTCCACGCCCAGCAGCTGCTGTGCATTGGGTCGCACGCCCGTGATTAGCTCCAGCTGATGGAAGAGCGTATCACGCTGCTCGGCCAAGTTGGCGTACTTTTGCTGCAGCTCCTTTTCGCGCTCCATTTGCCGGCGCACATCCTCCTGCAGCGCTTCGAGGCGTCGCGGCACAGCAATCGCCTCCTGCTCGCCTAAGAAACGAAATGTGGACAGCGAGAGGGAGTTCTGCTCGATCTGTGTGTAGGTGTCCTGCAGCTGCTTGATCAGCACCTGGGCGCGCGCCTGATAGCCACCAGTCAGTATCTTCAGCTTCTTCTCAATCTTGCCGCAGCGCTTGGCCTCTTTGGCCATATGACGACGATTCTGTTCCAGACGTTTCTCCGCCGACTCCAGACGATCCTTTTTGCTGGCCAGATTGGCGCGCGTGTAGCGATGCTGCGAGGGCAGATAGAGCACCTGGCCGAGGCACTCCTGCCATACCTGCGCGTAAACATCCAGCGGCAGCTCGCCGTGGGACATGCGCTCCTTTACAACCTCCATTTCGTCGGCCAGCATCTGCTTGGCATCGGCCAGTTCCTCCTGCGATATCTCCTCATACGGATTGGCCTTGAAGTAGCTCTGCAGCTGTTCCAGCTTGTGCTGCGACTGACCCGGCACCGGATCCCGCACAGAATCATAAACTGAAAGAGGAAACGGTTTTAGTTGGATCATTTCTCGATTGGATTATCTCGCACTACTCACGCTGCATGGTTATCATCTCGTGCTTGATCAGCTCCTCGGCCTGCTGCTGCTCGGTTAGGTTTTGCTTCTCGGACTGCGGCCGCAGGATCTTGGTGTTCACCTCCGTGGGACGGGGCAGGTTGCGCTGTATAACCTGCGAGCGTTTAGCCAGCTCGCGCTGACGCTGCGCCTCCTGCTCCGCAAGCAGACGTGCATCCACATCCGCCTGGTCCTCTATGGCGGGCTCAGTGCCCGTCTCCATCGGCTCGCTGTCCTCCTGCTCCGGCACCACAATCTCGTAATCGTTGCGTGGCGTTGGCAGCGTGGCCAGACCCTCGCGCAGCGTTGACTTCACCTGCTTCTGGTAGTTCTTATAGAGCGCCGGAGTCTCGGTAACGCCCATATTCTCCTCCGGATTGATGCTAAGCTTGTCGCGCACAAGAGCAGGTGTGGATACGCTGCCGCCAGCTGTGCCGTTCTTCAGCACGGGCAGCAAGGCGCCCGAGGCGGGCGTTAGGAAGCCCGCAGGCGTTGCAGCGCCCCCGCCCTCACGCTGTGTGCGAAAAGGCGTGGCAATGACCGTGTTGGGCGTGGTAATGGCCGCCGCTTTGGGCAACACGCCCGAGAAGTCCGATTCGTGCAGCGGAGTATTGAGGCCGCCTTTGAGCGGTGTCTCCGTGTGCGTGAGCGCCATCATGTTCTGTGCCTCCTGCATAATGCGATCCGTGTAGGGTGCTGGAGTGCGAGGCGTGGCCGTCACTTGGGGCGTAATGGAATAATCCGCCAGCAGCGCATCCGTTGTCTCGATGCCGCTCTCACCGGCTATCTCCTTGGCCATCTCACTGGCGCGGCCCAACTTGACCACTTGCTGCAGCTCCATATCGGAAATCTGCGGCGTGGGCAACACCAGCTTGGAACGCTTACGCTCCGGCTCTAGGTTTTGCATCATGGCCGACGGCACCTCGTTCTCCTTGCGCTGTTTCAGCTTCTGCTTGTCGCGCTTACGCTCACGCTCCTCCTTCTCGGAGCGCAGCTCACCATCCAAATCCTGTTGGCGCATCTTGTTGAAGTCTGGATCCTGCTTCTGCAGATGCTCCTCGGATGTATCATAGAAGCCAATCGCCGGCCGCTTCTCAAAGGGTATTTCCGCATTGTAGTCGATGCCTTTGATGCGCTTCCGATTGCCGCTGCCAATGCCGGCGGCACGCAGCTCGCGACGCTTCTGCAGCGTGGCCAGGCGACGTGCCTCCTCCAGCTGCTTTTCGCGCGCCTTGCGCTTGGCCTTCTTGCCCTGTGTGTTGGCCAGACGGGCGCGTGCCTCGGACAGCATCTCCAGCTCGTCCTCGTCCATGTCTTTGGGATCGGGCCGAGCGGGCTTTGTCTCTGGATTTGGATCAATTTCACCAGGCTTAAGTTTGCGTGGATCGTCCATGGTGTCCTCACCATCCTCCTTGCGCTGCGCCTGGTCACTGGGGTAAATAAAAAAAAAATAAACTATATAACAACAAAATCACTGAAACATTTCACACTTACAGCAGATACTCGTAGCGTTCCAGGCACTGTGCTGCAGTGCGTCCAATGATAGGCGCAATGGTGCGCCATTGCGTCGGCATCAGCTTGGCCAGATGCAGCAGCTTCTCGTCCTCCTCGCGTGACCATTCGGTCTTCTTGATGCTCGGATCGAGCCATTCGTACCAACGTGCCTTACACTGTTTGGCCGACTTGCGATGCAGCAGCGAGGCAATGCGACTCCATTGATTTTTGCCATATTTCATGACGGCCGCCTTGAGAATTTCATCCTGAAAAGAGAGCAGCGCGTGGTTTTGGCTTAAAAGGTAAGATTCAATTTCACATTTACGACTTACCTCTGTGTTGCGCCAAACGCCGCCTTTAATCATAATACGCGGCATTTTGTCGTCCTTTTTAAGTTTTTTCTAATGCTCTAAGAATTATTATCCCTTTAAAATTATTCTGCAAACTTTGCGCTGTCGGCGGCCGCTAGAGATGAGAAAAAAAAACGTATTCCACTGCAAACTAAAAGTAAACGATATTTTTCAAATTATGTGAAAATACTGATATTTTCCTGAACTACTTAGTTCGATAATTGTTTGGCTGTGCAGCAATAGAAACTCTGACGTCATTATTGACCAAATGCGTAGCATTCAATTTTTCAAATCATTAGAAAACGTTAAAGAACGAAATTAATTCAAAATTGTAAGAATCAAACAGCTGCATAGGTTTTAACTATAATTGAAGTATGCAAATTATTCAAACGTTTGTTTCAGCATAGTTAAAAAATGCACAGAGAAAAATATTGACATAAACGCAAGGTAAAGATAATGTTAATAACAGCACAAAAATGTTACCTATGCAAGACATAAAAACTAGAGCTATGCATCTCCGTTATATTTCTAACAAGTCTATAACAGCGTAACCTTATAGTTTTTATTACTCTTAGTGATGAGAGCAGTATTTATCGGTGTCGTGGTATTTTTTTCTGCTGACTCTCGATAGACTTTTAGTGCGTATATCGATACGCTGCAATTGTTTTTGTTTTTGCAGTTGTTGTTATCAGATGTTTTGATATGATATCAGATCAGCTACTGCCACAGCCTTTTGCCAGCGAAATGTAATGCGAAGTTAGCGAAAATGCAATTGTAAACAATTCCAATTCCGAATGCATTGCAACATGACCGATGCGGATGTGGCCTTCTCGAGCTTCTACGGCACCGTGGGCAGCCAGGTGAGCACTTTGCCAGTTGTTTCTTGTTGCAAGTGTGTGTGTGTGTGTGCATGTGTGCGTGTGTGAGTGAGTGTTAGTTGATCTCGCCATGCGTCCGTTGTTGTTGTTGTTGTTTTGCTGCAGCTACAGCACGCCGAGCTGTCGCTATCAACGCCCATACACGCCCTGGAGCACGACAATTTCACCGGCTTATTCGACGATGACCCCTCCGCCCTGCTAAGCATTCCACTGGCAACGACAACAGCCGCGACGACGCACAAGAGCACCACTGGAATCGGCGAGGCCAGCTGCATACCCTTTGTGCAGATACACACAACCGATCTGCAGCAGCAGCCGGAGTCGAGCCGCAGTTATCGCAATGGCTTTCGACGCAAGACGGCGGAGATTAAGTCGGAGGCGGAGCTCATCAAGTCGGAGCTGGCCGAGGCGGCTGCCAAGGATCGCAGCAATGCCACGCCCACGCCGCCCACAGCCAAGACAATTGCCAGCGAGAACTGCACGGATTTGCCGCTGAACAAGTGTCCCAGCTGCCCGTTTCTCAGTCTCAGTCAACTGAAGACACAGACGCACATCAGCAGCTGCTTTGGCATCGATGCACAGCGCCGCCTTCAGTGTCCAGGTTAGTGTGCCAATAAATTCCGAACACAGCAAACCTTTATCCCTTATCCTTGCAGGCTGCGCGAATGTATTCTACAATTTGGACGTGCTCAATTTGCATCTCAGCGCTGATCATCAGCTGGAGCCGCGCGAGATTTCCACGCTGCTGCTCAAGTTGACTGACAAAACCGGCGAACCGTCTGCCAAGAAGCCGCAACAGGCGCAGTCACAGAGCCAGCCGCTGCCGCCAAAAAGCCGCATTTTCATCAAAAACGTGGACTGCCTGCGAGAACCGCATCGCGAGCCGGATGTGAATCAACTGCCAGATTTCTTGCCCTTGTTGACGGCGTCGTCAGATGGCAATATTTTAGATCTGCTCGATGATGTGGACGACGCGAACGATTGCTCCAATCAGCAGCAACAGGATCTACAACAAATGGCACCAATCGTCCAAAAGCCGGCCGTACAAAAGATATCCATTAAGAGCGTCGATGTGCTGCGGGAGCCGGCGCTGCTGCCCTTTGATTTTCCGATGCCCAGTGCTGGAGCGGAACAGCAGCAGCTGCCGTCGCTGCCCGCGCTGATGATGAGCAACAATATGGTGTTGGGTGCGGAGGCAGAGAAGCCGCGCCAGCCGAAGATCTATATACGCAATGTGGACATATTGAAGGAGCCGATGCTGCTGCCCGGCATGGGCTTCAGCGGTGCGCCCGCCTCGACTGTGCCCAATCCGGCCGAGGTGTTCAATGCCGAAACTCTGCTAACGCCAACGGGTCCGGTTGTTCCGTTGCCCGGCTTTGAACCGGCCCTGGCGCCGCTGGCCAGCATGTGCAGCGAGGCGTTCAATTTTGACTCTGTGCTCAGCGGTGCAGGCACCGCCAGCAGCAGCAGCAGCCACAACTTTAGCGCTCTGGATCTG